AAAAAAAAAAATAGAAAAATCGTAATTATCCAAACCCAACAAATTAAATAACAAAGTGAATCATCATAAAAAACTATATACTATTATAATATAAAAATATTAAATTATAGTTTTTAGAGAACCTTTCGTTTTATGAAATTTTAATTTATATAAAATAATAAAAGAATAAATATAACTTTTATCTATGAGAATATTAATAATAACTATAACATAAAAAATATCGAGCAATTTATTAAGAAAATCGATAAACCATCTTAATAAAATATTATTTAGAAATATTCAACCCTATAATTTCGTATAAATCCTTCTAACAAAAATAGAATAAAAATACCAAAATAATTATTTAGAGTATTCATTCAATTCATCATTTACCACCTTCCTCTAAAATTAGCAAAGTAAATAACATCTTCATTTCTTAAAAGAAATATAGAATATTAATATATCATATAATCTATTTTTATCTCTTTTAATATAGGCTCCGGTTTCGTTCGAAAATCTTCAAACTAGACTATGGAATTCATATTCTCCATTCGAAATTCAAAATATATTTCTATATCAAATATCATACTTTGACAATAAAAATATATGTATATATATATATTCTCTCATATATTAGCCTTCAGATTTCGAAGGGAAAATTATCAAAATAATGTACCTTTTTCGGGTACGCTGGCCAGCACAAGTTGTTGTTCATACTAGCTGAATGTTCGATGTACGAACCGAATCATTTCTCGAATTGGGGTATAGTAGAAAGCAGGCCGCCATCGTAGCACAAGCTAATTCAAATTCTGGTTGTTGAAATCCGTGGCATTTTGCGATGGTTCCTAGGCTAACCATGCTTACTCCAGCTCACCGCAAGCCAGGTCGCCCGAGAAGGCTTTGCCAAATCCAACTTCTCCCTGGGGCGATGTCATGTAATGTTCTTCAAATCTGCCAATTACCCGGCCTCTGGGAAAGGCTTGGTCTCCAGATCGTAAGAGCTCAGGTTTGCCCAAGATGTCAAATCGTTGGAGCCTTGGCAGCTCAGGTGCGACCGCTTTGGGTACGCGATGTGAACTGAAGTCCGTCCTCGAAGGGTCCATCTTCTAGGATGGGTGTCATCGTGCCCATCTCTGCGTGAGATCATCGTGTAGGAAACGACTTGTTGTGCAACCTAAGGTCAGCTCTGGTCATGACCGACCTCTGCTGGAGCTACAACACCTCAGTGCCACACTTGCAGATCGATCACCAACATCGCAGCCAGCGTTGGCCTCCGGAAGCAGTGCTAGCAAACTCGTGCATGTGTCTTCAGGAAATCGTGCTGAGACAACATTCACAGTCGTTCCGGACGCTGAAGAAATACCGCCGGTTTTAACGGTGTTTTGAATGGTTTCTAGACTTCCTTTTGAAGGTTCCTTGGCGGGTCTCTAAAATTCCTTTATCGGACTTTGAGACACGAGCCTGGACAAGTCACGGCCATCGGCGATCTCGCCGTCCAAGGAATACGTCTCGTCGACTTGTAGGATGGTAAAAGGATTTCCGTCCAAGACGTTCCAAGGCTCCGTTCCTGTGAAGCCGAAGCTCGCAGGAATCCGAGCTCTCCCCCGGTACAAGTAGGCGCTGCTGCGGGTGGCCGGAACTTCGACGACCTTGCCCGTGTCATCTCTGAACGCCAACCCAGCAACGCTCCAGGCAGACTGGGATTCGCCATTGCAGGCATGCACCTGAGCTTTGCAGACATCTCCAACCGATTTCGCTGCGCGCCTTCGGTCCCTTGACCCCGCACCTGCAGCATCACGTAGCGGTATGGACAGAACCTCTGAGCTGCTCCCTGTACCACGAACAAGGACATCAGATAGGACAGGTACCTTGGAAAATGCCACAAAATCACACACATCGCCCCAAGCTGCACTTCCATCACCTTCAGCCTGGAGACTGCATTGCTCTCAGGCATCACAGAGGATCACAGACAACAAGCGACCATCGGCCAGTGGAGAGCTGGCACGGCTCCGAGCCAAGGCTGGAGCTGCGGAGGCCGCGGCAAACTTTGCTTCCCCAAGAAAGTCTTTATGGCCTGGCTGCCTTGCTGCTTCTACTGGTGTGCACTGCTCTTCGTGCCGCTGCCAAGAGCGCACCTCCGGTCTTCTGGCACAAGGCTCGCAAATCACCTTTTCGATTCCCATGTCGCTCCGAGGCTTTGGCGTGCGGCTGCCGAGCTGCAAGCTCTAGGAAAACTACGAGCGCATTACTTATTACTTCTTGCTGGTAAGGTGTTCCACACCGGCAGCAGATTTCGCAACAAGCCATCACCAAGTTGGGATGGTTGGGAATTGGAGCTCCGACAGCTCAGTCGAACTTACAAATTAGCTCATGAGCATTTGGAAGACCTGCGACGGATCTTCGTAATTGCTCCGACATTCGTATGACATCGCAGGGCTCGACACTTCCCAAGGAAGGTATTCTGTCTGCGACTCGCAGAGATAGTCCTCCCAGCTCCCTGCTCGGATTCTAGTACATCCAACTGGATGAGCAAAATGTCAGTAGCCAGTGTTTCGATGAGTGACCTGCAGCCAACACTGTCATCCATAGGCTCCAACTCAAGGCTGATATCTAGAAGCTAGATCTTCGTAGTGAGTTTACTTCAACCACCCAGCCACAATGAGGCCAGTGTCGACCAGATCCCAAGATGACAAGGCCACCCTCGCCTGCTCTTCCTGTTTAGCATGTGGCAGGCTGGACTGCTAACACCCAGCTGGTGAAGTATTGCTGTACCAGGCCGTAGTCCTGCCCATACAGTTCCACTCCTGTACTGAAAGCTCTGAGCGAAGCAACGCTGTCGTTTCGATTGGGTATGGGATCTTGCGGGTGACTCGCAACCAGCATCCGAATAGCTTCAACTGCTGTGACCCGCCGATGCGATGTGTTGTGGGTGGTCGCTCTGTGAGTGCTTGGCTGTCTTGTTTGACGGGACGTGTGGGTACCTGGCTTGAGGACTTGAGCCTATTGAGCATGCCTGAGATGAACTTAGATGTGCAACTGGGCCTTGTAATCCGGGAAACTCGCGCGACAGATGGCCGCAGAGATGGAGTGATCGGGCATCCCAAAGCCCTCGGCAAAGAGTTCTATACGATGACGTGACATGCGGCAATTAATGGCACCTTGCTGTGCCCGTAGATCTCAATCTCTTTGGCCTCATCATCACGCCTTGCACTACCCCGAAGTAACAAGAAGTTTGTAAGTGTAAGCACATCCAGCATTGGCATGTGTTTCTGAAGAGTGCAAGACATCGTTGCGGGGATCCATGTGACAGGGCAAAATTCAAGGCCTGCATCTGAGAGCCTTGCCGGATTCGGCCTCCACCCGGAATCTCGTACTGCAAACCCTTGTCTCGCAAGGCCTGCACGCGAACATGGCACTTTCTCATGATCTGCGGACTCTTCGCTCTTCGGCTGAGCGTGGTACAGTATCTGCACAGTTGTAACATTGAGCTGGACGGATCTGCAGCACACTTGCAAGCTCAAGGGGAAATTTCCAGGCTCTTTTTCTACGCAGCATTAGTGAGTTAGCAGATCTTCTCGTTGTGCAGCTGCTGCTGATAGCATCATGTCTCATCCGTCGGTGCGGCGTTGGACAGTGGCCGTCTTCTGCGAGGTCAGGCATCGAATTGCCACACGTCGATCAGCTTTGACTGGGACCTTCATGCCATCCCGCTTCTGACAAAGGATGACGCAGACTGTTCAAGCTGCCATGCTCTGGCTCAGCTTGTCGGCTCTTCACCCTTAATTTCCTTCAGAGCACGCTGGGCCACCTCCCTCTTCAGCTCAGCCCAAACCTCCGCTTTGCTGCGGCCACCAGTCTTGACAGGCAGCCCCTCCTGCAGCAGGTTGGTATCTCTAGGACTCTAGAATTTCTAGAAGTGCCTTTATTTCTGGCAAGCCAAGAACCGGAAAGTGTGCATTGACATGTTACTGGTTTTAGGGTCCTGTCCGGTCCGGCTTGACAGTTTCGGGGATTCCTATCTCAAGCTTCCAAAGTTTCAGAGCTGGGGAAGTTCAGTTTTCACAGCACATCCTTGTCATCGGTCTCGTTGCCCAAGACCGTGTTTCGACAGGATTCGGGCTTGTTCTTATCTCGGCTGACACAAGCCAATGGCCAAAGCACATGTCTCAATTAGCTAGAGGTTGAAGGATGATCTTTAATTTCTGTCGGTCCAGAATTCGGATGGAGTCTGTGCTTCTCCATAACTCGGCTCATAGAAACAGATCCAAGAAAGCCTCCCACAAGTACCACCATCAGACAAGCACTATCGAAACGGGTCAAGTGCATTGGGCTACCCCCGGATCTGGACTGGACACGGAGAAACTCTAGTGCAGGATGCACCTGCATGCTCATGCTCTTGCTCTGTCAGCAAAACTTGAATCCGTGCCTGGGCAATGTATGCCCGCATAGCTGCCAGCTTGGAGTCTGCACTCAAGTCCACCAGTCGGATTCGGCGGAAGGAGTTCGCAAAGCGACGATCCCAGTCTTGGAACGGATCCTCGGACTTCGCCTCAGCGTCGGCCGCTTCGGGCTCGGCTTCTCCGGACCAAGAGAGAAGGTCCTGAAAAGGGAGGGCGGGCAGAGGGTTTCCCAGTGCCACCCAGACCAGCAAGCCTGCAGCTCCTGCTGCCACCAGAGAGGCTATGAACGTCGCAACGAAGAAGTTGGCTGCCAGCAAAGGCAACACAAGAACTCCGCCCAGGGTTAGTACAGTGATCAGCAAAGGCAGGGCAACACTGAAGTACAGCAGACCCACAACGCTCCCCGCCAGAAGAACTGACCACGACAACGCTGCCGATCCCACAAGAAGGGCGGGGGTGAAAGCCAGCAGGCCGAAAACAGCAGCTGCCACAAAGGGCAGCACCTTGGCAACAGCGCCTTCACCTTCGTCGCTCACATCGCGCCCTCGGCCTTTTGAGTATCTTTGGGATTGACTTCGTCTCGACAGCAACATTGTCACTGTCGCGGAGCAGACAGAGCATCTATGCCGGATCTGAGATGGCACCTTTGCTCTTCTTTGACATTCCGTCGGAAGGAGCCTTCCCGAGCTGCAAGCAAGGCATCCTCTTCCAGGCACGACTGAACTGGGGGCCAAGAGTTTCACACCCCGGACTCCTGGCTGCTCCATGGCCGGCTCGAGCAAAATCGGCTTCATTGAAATCAGGGAGCTGCCATGAAGAGCTATAACCCACCATAATCGACTACGATGTACTGTACAATACTACGATCTACTCGGATTTACTGTAGACATACTACGATCTGCTATACTGTACTACGATCTACTATGCTCTCCTAATCCGGGAGCCCCCCGCTCGGGCCGGGCCTGGCAGAGAAGCTCCGCCACGTCCGCGTGGTAGGAGCCCGGAGCTGAGCGGACGATAACCTCGGCCGGGCTCAAGATTTATTCTTGCTTTTGTATATATTGTTATATGTTCTTGAATAATTCTTATAGCTTACAGTCTATTATTACAGTATATATAAGCTATTGTAGGTGATGGTAGACTATTACAGTATAAACTGGTTTAGCTTATAGTCTATTGTTTCAGCATAAATTGTTGTAGCTTACAGTCTGTTATTACAGTATAAGTTATTGTAAATTATGGTAGATTATGGTGCTTTAGTCGTTCTAGTGCGCGGAAGCCGGGGCCTGGCCTTGCGAGTTCCATCTGGCGCTATGGCATGCACCTTCGGGGATGGCAGGGTTCCTCGAGGTCTCCATGGGAGCATTTGAGTCTGGGAGGGCGGACACAGCATGCAGTAATTCTGGACTTCAGCAGATTACAGCTACACCCCAACGGTGAGGTAACAATGGTGACCAGCGCTCGCGGGCTTGAGTTGCGCATGCGGAGCCGAGCAAGGAGTTTGGGCGCGGTTGCACCTGCACGTACTTGAAGACGCCACTGGCCACATCACAGGCCTGGAAGCGCTCCAGCACCTGCCGCCAAAGTTCGCGCTTTTCGCGCAGTTCGAAAGTCCGAAGATGTCCGAAGATGTCGGAAGCGAACTCAAGCCACAAGGAAACGAACGAAGCCTTGGCATCGGCAGACGCGGCTCCGACAGGTCCGGCCCCAGCATCTCTAAGGCCGCTGGCCTCGACTTGAAGCGGAGAGGCCAGCAACTCCAAAACTCTTTCTGAGTCCGCATCCTTCTCCTGATCCGCCGCATTGGTAGTCGGCCCTACTTCTTCGGCCATCCGGCTTGTGAAAAGGCTGTGCTGATCAAAGGCTAACCATAAGCAATCGCCGCTATACACGGGTGGGATCAAAGGAATGTGCAAGCTCCCTGTTCGAGCGAAGCATTTCATCGTCGTGCAAATATCTGGATCCGAAATTCGACAGCAGGAATTGGAGTTCCGAGAGAGCAATTAGCTTCGGCTCGCTCTTCCAACATCTCGCAACACCGAATCATCCACAAGGTTCCCTTAGTTCCTTCGTCAGCGTAGTTGCAGGGCTGTTGCCGTTTTTCTGCACAACATATCCACGTGACTGTGTGACTCTTGCCGAGTCTGGAAGGTGAAACACGTCCGCACACTCAAATCTCGTCGTACGCCTCCGCCGACATTCTGGGAGGTGGAGACGGAGGCCCCATTGCCTGTCTCTGCACGATGAGCGAGTGATGCGAGTGAAAGGGCACGTTGGTATATACGGCCCTTCTATAAGGCCTGCTTCAGCATTTCCAGCGGAGGATCCATCGAAAAACCTGGGCCAAGGCTGCCACCACAAACGCGAGGATGGACTTCGAAACGACAAAGAGGCAGAGCAGAGCTGGCCTGGACTCGCGGGAGCTTGGAAGGGCGGCCTCTGAGTGCTCTCTCTGCGGCTAGCCGCACATCCCCCCCAAAAAGGGAGGAGGGCTCTCCTCAGCTCCCCTTCTTTCTCAGGCGACCACGCGAAGCCAGGAGGAAAGCCTGCTGGTGGTAGGCCCGTTGGCAAGCCTGGCTCTGCCAAACGCTACGGGCACACGCGGCAGCCTGAAGAGACCAAGAGCCTGGAAACGGAGGGAAGCCTGGTGGGAAGCCTTCCAAAGAAACATTGCTGAATTGCAGCTGCTGCCCCTACAGCGCAGGTCTGAGGCGCATGCTGGCATCTGTCCAGGGCGCGCTTGGTTGAAACGACGACCTTGAGGATGCACATGTGGGGTTCAAGCAATCAGAGACATGCGCCAGGCGCACGGCTGCGGCGGTGACGGCGGACCGCCTGCACAAGGCTCCGCAAACATCTTGGCAAAGCCTAAGGATGTCACTTCTCCACGATACCAACACAACGTGCCAAATTCCGGCATCCCGGTTTAACAAGTTTGAGTCGCAGCGGCACTGCCACAAGCAGAGACTCAAGTCAGCGTCACCTATAGGACGCTAGCTCCGCGTGAATCATGTTTGCAATGTGTAACATGAGACCACGTAATCATGGTGTAGCGAACGCACAATGTATGGCATTCCTTTGGGGGTAGTGTACAGATGCGCACAGGCTGTAGTAGCACTGCACGTACGCCGTGGCTTCGGGGCAGTCCTTGCGGACTGGTACACTGCGTTACAAATTGTGCTTGCTTGTGCTACAATCCTTTGCCGTCCCGTGCATCATCTTGAACGCCTTTCATCATCGCTAGAGATGGGTCGGCATACGTTTGCCACGGCAAACGAAAAGACCTCGTGGAGCGAGACGGCATCATCCGAATCTCACAAGTCGCATGCATCTGGAACTGGACGCCCTCGGGGCCCTCTGAGAGACAGGGGGGAAAGGGGGGGGGGGAGGATGGGCAAAGCGTGGAGCCAAGGCTCCCGGAGACGCTTCAGCTCATCCGTCTCCAGAACACTACGAAGGGAGACAGCTTGAGAGTTTAGACTGGGGTTTGTCCACGCCCAAGGCTCTTTCTGCAGGCAAAGGAGAGGACAAGAGACGCAGGCAAAGGAGCGGAGGAGACGGGAAGGATTAGAAGCGTCAGAGCTGAGCCAAATTGGAAGAGTCCCGTTCTCGACTTCTCCCATCGGAGCATAGCATGACAAAGCATAAGTCTCCCGACCTTTCAGGCAAATGAAGACACATGCGAGTAGACAAAAGCCACAGAGTTCCACAAAGGCATGTGACATTCTCTTGTGGCTTTGGATTGACATCGCCATGCTTCGCTGAGTGACCTCAGTGTGTTCTTTCTCTCTTGCACAGAATACTCTCGCATACAGCATGCGAACACACTTTTCATGCAACAGTATCATCTATTGTGCTGCGGCAACTCAAAGATGCAACGATGTGCATTTCGGAGTGATTCTAGCGCATGTCGCAGCGCAACAGGCTTGCACTGTTTGTATTTTTCGTGAAGCACTTTACCGTGCATTGTACACCATTTCTGCAGCACATCACGTGAGACTAAGTAATACTGTCCTGTGCCAGCTCCTTTGGAGATCGGCACTGGCGGCAATAATGCTGCATGCTTTGCGAGTTGCAGGCGAATCCGAACCTGGAAGCCAGGGACGCGAGTTCACATCCAGCCAGGCCTTGGGGTGCGCACGCAGCGTCGCTGCGACAGCCGGTCTCAGAGTCTCTTTAAGGCCGCTGACGCGGACGTGCATCTTCGCCATCTCGCGAGCCTGGTCGCTTCAGAAGCTCACTGCTGTGTGCCTCACGCGCTTTTTGCGCACTTCCCCCGCATTCCCCCGCTTCCCGCCTCCGGAGGACCTGCCAAAAGGAAGTACGGCCTGCAGTGGCAAAGAATCAGACACAGCTGTTACCGACTTTCCGTTGGGTCCGTTTCGATGGACCTGCTGAGGAAACTGCCCTCCATCACCATCAGCGCAGTCGTTAACCGACACATGAGCACCTGTCTCCTGGTCAAGCTTGCAGAATCCATGCCGGGCACAGCCCGGCTGCGAGTGCTCTGCTCATCTGGTCTCTCAGCCAAATCTGAGTTTCATGGATGGCTCCAGCGAGAAAGCATGAGTCAGAATCTATCGATGACACTCCGAACTTGGAAGTCGCTTCAGTACTTGCAAAGAAACCACACATCAAGAAGATCCGAATCTGGTGTGCAGCTAGCCTGCACATACGGGGAGTCCAAGCTGTGTGACATTCGTGGCAAGCTTGTTTCATTTCGCATGGATGACAAGCAAGTCTGGGCGGGGAATTCCCGCAGCCTGGCTCATCTCGCGCAATACATGTGGCCTGAGCATGAGGTCAAAATGGCACATGTGTGGATCTGATGTAACTAAGTTGTCCACACCCCAAGCACAAAGAGTGCAGTATGTGTACCATGTACTGCAAGTCCCGGCCAAGCCCTTAGATTCAGACTAAGCCTTCACAGTACTGTTTTCATACCTTATAGCTTAGCTCTATCACTCTGACACTCTTCTCAAGGTGTGGTCTTCAGTCATTGTCCAAGTACAAGTCTACGAGTGCCCTAATGTTTCTTTTTCTGTTCCTCAATTACCTGTTACTTGCCGCGCGCAGCAGCTCGACTACAGGTTCCCTGCCTTTCCATCCTCAGCTGGTACTCTTCTCCTTGTCCGCCATGACTGGTCGCTGTCCTATTGGTACTCCGTTATCCTTTCTCATATCTTGTTCGATGATCACTCGCTGACTCCGACTACTCCATTCTTTACAGCATGACGATTGCTCTCTGTGCTCTCTGTCCGTGCGCAGAAACGGATCTGTTACACTACCCTTGAACTCTTGATGCTCTCATTAGCACAAGCCGGGAACTGGGTCCCGTGCCCTTGCCAAAGCTGCTGTGCCAGGACCCGAGGGCAGGCGATGGTGACGCCATCTGCCCAGGAGCAGATCGGGCTCTGGCATGACAGGTAGCTCCACTCACTACTCGGGTTCGGCGTGTGGGGTTGGAGAGGCGCCAGCTCGAACCAATTTGGACTTAACTTAGATGTACAAAAGTAGGACAGGATCAGGTTCTGGTGGGCGGACTCTTGAAATCACCAATGGTTTGGCCCTCGGTCGAAATTACGATACTGTCCATTGACATGAACAGCTTGAGCACAGTGCTCAACAGGAAAGAACCCCTGGCGAACAAGTGCACCAAAGATGAATGTGTTGTTCTCCGAACCGAACTTGAGTCTCTGCGACAATTGCCTGTAGGCCTTCCCGAACTTGCACCGACAGACTAAACACGAGATGAAGGCGAGAGAGAACTCGAGAATACATAACAGTTCTGCTTGCCGACCAATCCAAAGGTCTGGCAGTGATTACAACAGCATGAAGCCTTTTTCATGTGTTAACAAAAGGTACTGCCAACTGTCTTAAGCCCAGCTTTAGTAGCAGCTGTAGCCGGGGCGATGTTTTGCCGGAGTTCCCTTGACTGTGCCTCCATGCCGCGGCCTGACCGCCTCAGCGTGCATCTGCTTCTCAAGATTTATGGAGGCTTCTCCGGCTTTTGAGGGTTTTGCTCCGGGTCAGATATGGCAGGTGTTGGTCTAGCCAAGGCAAGAGAGGAGCAGGTGCGGGGCTCTGCTCCAAAAGAATACGAAGCAACGGATGACAAACCAAGTGCTCAAGGAAAACACACGGGCGTTGATGTAAATTCGCTCATCCACCATTCTTCACAATCTTTTTTGCGCAACTTTCGAGGGACCATCGCGGACACATATTTAAGTATGTTGGGTGGCAATCGTCCCTTGTCGTCGTTTGGAGTTGGCACGTTCGAAGGCCATGCGGTTGTAAGGTCTCGAGGGCTCGGGCTTCCCGGTATTGGGTATTGGGCGGGAGTATCTTGAAAGCTTGACCTTCAAGGCTAGCGATCGGGCAGGTTGCCTTGATATGGAAAACTCGACTTGCAGGTCTTTCGCAGGATCTTCACGGACCTTTCGCGTTGCACGCACTAGCGACACCGCAATTTGGCATGTGCCTCGAGCAGGCTGTGCGATTCATGTGGAGATGTTGTGCTAAACAGCCTTGCGCCGAAAGCCGAGAGGAGGACGAAACAACAAACAACAAACGTTCTCATGATGTTGCTTTCAACGTAGGTGCAGCGGCCTAACGAGGACGCCGAGGACATGGGGGTCGGCAAGGAACTCTACTGTTGATATTGCATGCTTGCATGCTGACTGGCACACTGCAGCAGCAGCAGCAGCAGCAGTAGTAGTAGCAGCAGGAGGAGGAGGAGTAGTAGTAGTAGTAGGAGTAGGAGTAGTAGGAGTAGTATAGTAGTAGTAGTAGTAGTAGTAGTAGTAGCAGTAGTAGTAGTAGTAGCAGCAGTAGTAGTAGTAGTAGTAGTAGTAGTCGTCGTCGTCGTAATAGCAGTAGTCGCAGCAGTAGTAGAGCAGTAGCAGTGGCAGCAGCAGTAGTAGAGCAGTAGCAGTGGCAGCAGCAGTTGCAGTGGCAGTAGTAGTAGTCGTCGTCGTCGTAGACCTAGGCCAGTAAGCTAATGCAATAACTTTAGCAAAAAAACAGCTGTCTTTTCTTTCTTTATCGGCATCATCACGGAACTTTCGTGGTGGCATGTTGTGTTATGCCGGTGACAAGGACCTTTACAAAAATGCTCACTCATCTTCGCTGAGCGAAATGCAGGGTATCACCCGGGTCTTGTCTTGCGATCGGCTGGGGGACCCTTATCCCGCTGAGCTGAGAGTCGAGCTGGGCCTGGCGGCCGGTAAGGAGCACCTTTCCCAGCCTTGGCTCTCAGAAGTCTCAGTTACATCGGGTTCTTTGGGGAGAACCCTCGGCTCGCGACCCACTGTGCCCTTGGTCTGGGTCTCAGGGGCTGCCTTGGACGCACCGGCGGCCACCTCAGCTGTTCGTTGGAAATGGAGTGACCTGCCAAGGCCTACAGGGCATGGATCTCTGCAGGTCCAAGTTCTGGCATTTAGGCTTGCAGCTGGCAATTTTACTGGAGTCCAGGTTGAGTGCCGAAGCAAGCTTGGGCACTTCATTGTCGCGGCTTACAACTAGGACATGCGATGAGTGCCTTCACAATGACATGGCATTGATCATTCCCACTTCTCGGATCAAACGCTGAGCTGGCCACACACCGTTTTTGGAGACCTGTTGCCGATGCCACAATCGCAATGCTCCACCCATGGAACAAAGAACTCCTCACAACTACCGCGAACCGTGCCGCACCTCTGGGAGGGCCAATGCTGTGCTAGGAGCACTGCCACCAAAACACCTGAAAACGACGGTAAGACATGTCAGTTTGACTGCACAAGCCCCAAAGCGGAAATGAATATTTCCCCGGAAAGGTCACCACTAAGTTTTCCAGGCTGAGGCAGGAGCGGCGCGCTGCCATGCTCGGCCTGCAGCCAGACTGTCGCCACACTCCATCCAAACTGAACTCAGTGCTGTGCACAAAAAAACCGAACTTTCAGCAATTCTCGCGCAGGCCTTTGGCGGCGGAGGCACCGGAGGCGGAGGCGGGTCCGGGGGCCTGGCAGACAAAGCAATGGCTGCGAACGGCTAGAAAAAACCTATCTGGCCTGCTTGTTGAGATTGGTGCGCAGAATTCGTACTTGTGCACACGTATGCGTGCATGTCCCCGTGACTGCAGTGTTCTAGAAAACGAGAAGACGAGGACACACGAGGCAGTCCCCGGCTCAAGGAGCTAAAGCTGATTTCCAAACTTCCATCACCTTTCAGTGCACGGCCTGGGAAGCGGCTGCGAAGCTTTGTCAGCATCGACGGGTGTGCCCTGCCGAGGGAAAAACGCGTGGAATCATTTTGCTGCCGCGAGACAATTGCAGGTACAACGAGCCACTGCTCGTGCTGTCTAGGAAGTACCTGTTTCGAACCTTCTTAGCAAACCCAAGGGAAACGTCGGGGCTTCGGTTCGAAAGGCGCGCAAAGCATCAGGATGGGGTCCCTTTCACTCCAGTCCGTGCTTTCTGGTCTCTGGAAAACCCGAATTGGTGCAGACTCGGGTTGTGCTGATCCGCAGCGAAAGCTCTGAGACAGCTTTCGGGCATTGCTCCACCTGACTCTACCTGGTCCTCCATCATCAAGTTGAGGTGCTGTTCACAAATCTGCTGTGGAGAACAGCTATGCTGCAAAGGATCGCCTGTGGAAGGAGACAGACAAATCCCGGAACTATCAACCCCTCCGCTCCCCACACCGGGCATCCCTCGAGCTCTCCCTTAGCTGCCTAAACCCCAATCTGCTATACTGTACTCCTGAAGCACTTAGGCTGACGCCCAAAGACCCGAAGTTGTGATTGGAGGCAACAGCCCGAGTCAAGACGCCTCCGTCGGGCTGGGAGGACCAGGCCCCGATGCCTCCCAGGACAAAAACTGGCTAAGGTCTAGTAGTCCCGGCAAATGGCCTACGTAGAATAGGCCCCCTTGGCCTAAGGTTCGGGGTTTGGCAGTTACTTTCGTCTGAAGAGTATAGAAGCCTCTTCGGAGGCTCCGACCATGTCTCCACTTCCGATTACTCGCTGACACATTCAAGCGGCGAAAGCGCTAAGGCGGGATGCTGCAGATTGAAGACTATGTGGCCAAGTCTTAATTCTTGAGTTAGACTTGACACAAAGGCCAGGACATTGAGAGGGTTTTACGCTGCGACTGATGGTGCGTCTGACTGGCCTCTTCCATCCTCTTCCCCTGATACGAACATAAGAGGCGCTGTGCCCCCGCGTCTGAAGATTGTTGCCGCAATCAAGCCTATGACAAGACGAACTTACCTCCACCATGAAGCTATGGGCCATCCTATACCGCCTAGCAGAATGCCACTGAAAGCCAACCCAGTGCAACATCCCGCCACCTTGGCACGGCTGGCCATGAGCGCTGCTGCTGCTTCAGCACCCTGCAAGTTCCTGGCATTGAACCACCACTTGATTTAGACCTGCGGATCTACAGCCTGCGGACCTGCAGGCATCCACAGGTTTTCTGTCAATCTGTTCTGCTTTGGTCCTACATGGTTCATGCAATGACACAGCTCAGTTGCAACCTATCGTAGTTTTTCATTCAAAAGCTGTTTGAGATCTTCACGGCCGCGATCCTCAGCCTCTTGATTCACATGCCTCATCAACACAATCTTACCCTAGGGCCATAGGGAAACTGCCAGCGACACCCCGGCGAAGCCACGGGTGCAGGCGTCTCCGGAGCCGCTTCCGGCGCCGGCGTCTCTGGAGCCGCTTCCGGCAGAGGTGTCTCTGGAGCCGTTCCTGCTAGGAAACACAAGTGCTTCCAATGAATCCAGCTGAAAGGGCACAGCAAATACACGGGTACTGTTCCAGCTGCTACTAGCTCAAGTGCGCTCTTTTCACCCTGCTGGGTGCCAAGACGACATGTCTACAGCGAGCAACTAGAAAACAGCCCCGCGACGAAGACCGCAGACATCATACAATTCCTCAACCAGCATGTCTCCAGCTCCCGTGCACATGGTCTCCGCGGTGGAAGCGAGTGACGTCCCACTACGACTGGCGCAGTGGAGACGGAGATGCAACTGATGCAACTACACGGAAATGAAGTATTCGCGGCATTCATCTCAAATGCTAGTTCGCACGTCACAGCTCCACCGTGCAGGGGTGGGAAGCGGCGCTGTCTTCCGTAATCTGTGTTCAGTCGAATGCGATAGCTACGTTGAGCACGTTGTTGAACGCGAGCGAGCCAGCGAGCCAGCGAGGTCTCTTTGCAGTCCTGGAGGTGCCGGAGGTGCTGGTGGCTTCTTCTTGCCTGTTGATAGCCCCAGCTCGCTCATCATCCTCTCCTACGGCGGAGAATTCAGACCAGCCGCCCATAGCTTCACGACAGCTGAGAAGCCGACGTACTCCGCGTCCAGTTCCCGCTTCTTTTCTGCTTCCTCCTTCCAATCCACATTCTCCTGCACACATGTGCTGTAGCTGTGCAACGACGCGCAGAGTGACGTGATATCTGTCGAAGTGAAGAACTGATTCTCAAGAAGTAAATTTCACGCAAGATTTCCTCGCAGCGACACTGAACTGTACACTCATGCCACCACGCGCTTCTACATGCGCAGCTGTAGAAAGCTCGTGCGCATTGCAAGGACGTTGCATTGCTGGCAGCGCCATCTCAGATGGCACATGCCAGCATTCAGCCAAGAGCCAACATCGGCTTGAGGTGCTTGGCAGGCGTCCAACCTTCGATACCGTTCTCTTTTCGAATTAGCACGAAATCGCCAGCCTCTCCTGCACAGCGTCGGTCAAAGTGGTTAGAAAGAGTGGACGCAAAGGCCAAGGCGGCTAAGGCTGCAAAGCGGCCTTCGCTGGCCTGGGGGCTGCTCAAGAGCTCGACCACCTGAGCGACACATTCCAACGCCCCCCTCGAAAACACAGCGCGAGCGTCACACGCTGTAAACGGCCGCCTCTCCCGTGGCCACAGAGCCCTTCTCGACCCAAAGACCCGCGACGCCCGGGGTCTGCCAGAGGCACTCTGTGCCTGGTAAGGGAAATAGAAGAAATAAACATCATTTGTTAGTCTTTGTCCTCTCCGTTTCTGGGCCGCAGCTACGCTTCAAGATCTTTCCAAGGCCGGTACCGGGCAGCTCCAGCCGAGCCCGGCCCTTCGATGGTGTGGTGGGAGAGGCGGTGGGAGAGGCACCCGGCTCCCCGATCCTCTCAGCCAGAAGCATTGGCAGATTCACCAAGTCTTGCAATCTTTTCCCCAGCGACTTGTCCTTAGTTTTGCAACTGCGGTCTCCAGCTGGGTCGGCAGCTCAACTGCATGATCCTGACGCAGGAGACAAGCAGAGCACACCTGAAGCCTGCCAAATCGGACGATCGGGGCCTCGATGTTCCAAAGACTGATCTTCTTGGACACACGGTCGTACTGCAAGTAGTGCGTGCTGCAGTACTTTCCAGTTGGTGGCTTGTGGAGGTGCGACAAGACCTCCCAGATACCCTCTCTGTGGGAAACCATTACGACTGCCTCCCCCGAAGGATGTGAACCTGCGAGTTCTTTGATGGTCTCCACAAATCCGTCGGGGCTCCGGTTCCTCCGACCGACCTGCTCAACATCTCCGACTGGCGGCCAGCAGGACACGGGAACTCCTTTCATGGTTTCGTCGTCCGCCGGGCGCGCGAAGTAGCGCGAGGAGACGCCGACCATCTTCGCCGCAGCACAGCAGTTCAGGCCGTAGGCTGGGGAAACCCCCGGGGCAGCACCGAGCGGAGCGAGCTGCTTGGAAATCGCGGCTGCCGTGGCCATGGTTCGCATGGTCGGGCTGCTGTAGATGCAGGCCACCGGCGTGGAAGTGCGCTGGAGGTCTTGCAAAATCTGCTTACCGGCACAGCTCGACTGCTTCCAGCCTGAGACAAGTTTCAACTCGCAACCCGACATCTGGCACGATGCATGTGGAAGTTTACTGGTGCGCGCCTGTGGCAGTCAAAGGAGGGTCGTACTGTGTGTCATGTGTCCTCAATCTTCTCCATGCCTCTCGATCCGCCTCATCCAATCTCTCGCCATGCCGAACGAGGATCACATAGGTGATCTCCCGGCCCATTTCGCCTCACCTGAAGCCCTTGGGACCCCTTGAACCGAAGAAGCTGCAAGCCAAGTGCCCAAGCCATGGGATACTGTACCTTCAAGACATGGGGGGGCGGCCCGGCCCATCCGGCCCCCGTCCTTCTTGTGCTGCTCGGCTGCTTGCTTGCAGTCAGAGGCCACATGGCCCCGATCACCGCAGATGTCACACTTCACGTTGGCCATCCTGCGCTGGGCCGGGCTCCGTCTCAACATGGCCTCGGGATGCCTCATCCTCGATCTGAGGCCCATGCTTGTAGCTGTAGGCCTCTGACTCCGGGCAATCGAAGCCTTGCAGCATTGTGGACAGAAGACGAGACCATTACCGGGCTCTGCGAGGTGATGAAAGTACACTGCGATCATGTCAGTGACAAGCACAGCAAATGTGTTGGAGCTGCACACTAAGCCAAAGACCTAGATGCCCAAGTGCACCACACACCCCACACCGATGTTCTGACCTGAAGAATGAACCGCAAAGAGCATGATAGCCGCAGCTTTCTTTTCCAGCATCGTGAACAGCCACCGAACGTCTTTTGAGCATGCGACGCCCAGACTCAGGCTCCCACTTCTTCAACGTGAAGCCATTCACCACCGCCACTTGCTGCATCCCGTGCGTCCTGCTCTGCCGTAGACTTCAACAGAAGGGCCCAACACTCAGCTTCGACTCACCTTGCCTAGAGCCTCCGCAAGACTCTCTAGGATCCGTGTCCACATTGTTGCGAGTCTCCAACATCAAGCAAAGGCATGTGAAAGCAGCCAAGCCTGGCGTACTCAAACTCCGGGCTCTCCGGGTTCAGAAGCCTTGGGCTAGGTTTCGGGCTTCAAATCTGAAGTTTGGACACCGCAGCACTTTCGCCTGTGCCATCACCACCGAGCACGCCACGAGGCGCGGTTGAAATCACACACCATGCCTTCATGCAGCTGCACATCTGGGGACCTCGCGGCATGATGAGATTCGTCGCCGTCTCAATCTGCTCTTCCGTATCTCCCTCGATGTGGACCTTGCAAAGATTGAGCAGCGCCAACTGTTTCAAGAGTCGCCCATGTTTTGCTGCCTCTCACCAAGCCTCTGTTGCTGACAGAAGCTTCCGCTAGTTTGGTCATGCATTGCTCAGGCGTCGGACATGTTGGGGCATGTGCAGCTCTTCATCCGTCTGCCATTTGTCCCCGATATCCTCTGGAGGCCACCAGGAGCAGAAGCACAGCCCACCCGTGAGACCCCTGAGGTTTCCAATATGTGCTCCTTCCCCCGAATGAAGATTCGGCAGCCACTGGCTTCCTGCAAACTTGCGCACCAGATGTCTTGAGACTTGGCCACCCGCAACTAACAACCGAGAAGCTCTGCTAGATTCTACTCGCGCCTGCAAGCGCTTGTGGTTGACGCCGCGGGCACCGATTATGACGCCTCAGCGTGATGAGTGTCGGAAAGTCCTGCAACAAGTTGCCAAGGTTTGACAAACACTTTCACTGTCTCAGGGCGGATACCCATGAAGGAAGCGGTTGGGTATTTCCTCGGCTCTTGAAGCAGGCTTGCAGATGTTTGCAGTTTGCAAACTGTTCTGAAACTTGATATTTGTCTTTTTCTCTCGCGGCTGCAGAGTCTGGAATATTCTGAAACGCACTTTCAGACTGATCATGTCGCTGCCTCGCCTGCAGCACTGGCCTTCTTGCTGCAGGCGGGCGCGTTGCACCGGCATGACCCTTGGGTCAATTTCTACAGAGACGACTTTGGTCTGTATTTTGTTCGGAAGGCCGGGTCACTAGCACATCTCTCGGCCAAGGTCTCCAAGGCCTCTGCGATGGTAAGCTTGCGGACCATCGCATCCTCCAAGAGTTCGAAGGCAGGTGCCAGCCGACGTCCGTCACCCAAGGTGTGATACACAAGGCGCACTCCAGCTGCATTCGCAGCAAGTGCCTGGATCGCAAACATCACGGGCTCGCTGTTGTAAAAGGCTCCACAGCCCCAGCTGCCAGTGGAGACCTCGGTCTCTCCGAAGAGCTCATCCTCCCTCACGGCCACGAAGCCTGTGTAGGCCTTTTGGAGCATCAGCTTCAAATGCTGCAAAGTGTAGACCTCGAAGCTTGCCTTGATGGCATCCATGGCCACGACGGTAGGAGAGCTCCACTGGTCCTTCTTCGGATCCAGCAACAGCACCTTCTCCAGGGCATCCTTCGGTGCCCTACCATACCAGCCGATCTTTGCAAAGCGCGGAGCCCCTCGCATGACCCAAGCCTCGTTGGGCTCCATGGAAAAGGGGCTAGCCAAAGGCTCCTTGCTGGGGTCGGGCATCTCGAGCAGGCTACGCGCACACAAGGCACCAAAGTCGGGCCGCTCAATAAACAGGATCTCTTCCTGAACACATCCGTAGCTCAACCATCCCCCACCCAAGCGTTTGTTGGCAAAGTCCACAATGCATGGCTCAGTCGCCTCGTCGAAGACTCCCTGCACCACCAAAGGCAGCTGCCGAATATGCCTCTTGCAACGGCCCTTCTCAAAGTCCTCCAAGTCCTTGAGCCGAAACAAGGCCATTGTAACAGGCTTCTCAGCAACGTATGATGCGCTGCAGTAATGTTGTCGAACATGTTCCAGGACGCTCTCCTGGATCTCGTTCGTCGTTCTAGTGAAGTAAGCTGCCTTGTGTATTTCGGTTGCTCGCTTCCAGTTCTCGGCAGTGGCCCAGGCTTGCAGCCTCTCGTGGGTCTCGGTGAAGGTGGCGATCCTTGCAACGCCTGTGCCGGGAAGTGGCTGATGTGCCTCCTCCCGCTCATCGATCCCTACCCTCTGTCCGATCCCACCACCAAACCGATCACCACTGTAGGAGCCGTAGTAGCTGGCTCTGGGAGCCTGGGCATCCTGGCAGCGAACCTCACGGGTGCAACGGGGTTGCACCATCCAGGGTCGGTCCTGCCGCGACAAGGCAACCGATAATCCAGCGGCAGCCCCGCAGCGGGCCACAGAACGGAAGGCCCTCATCTTCTACAAAGCCCTTCGGAGCCACAAGCCGCTCTTCGACGCGTCAAGGCGTAAAGTCAAAGGCTTCACCTTCTCCATGGCCCTTCAAGCCGAGTAAGGGCAGGACTCGTAGGGGATGATGATCCTCGGCACATCTTCACGGCCAAGAGATGCAGAAAGCAGCTGAAGAGAGAGCGAGCGAGGCCAAAAGGCAAAGAGAGAGAGAGAGAGAGAGAGCTAAGCAAGCAAGGAGAAAGCAAGGAGAGGAGAACTCGCATTGCGCAGTCGAGGCTCTTCTTCACAAGGCGCTGCGGTTTCCATCCCTCCGGAGGCACATAGTTCTCCAGGTTCTTTAGCATGTACCTGTAGATTCACCAGAGTGTGCTGCTGTAGGACTTCTGCTGAGTTCTGCTGGCCTGATGAGCCGGTTGAATTCAGCCAACATCGCCTCATTTCAAATCTGATTGCATGTCAGCGTCGAGGGAAGGAAGCCACTGTGATGCAGCTGGCCTTGCGGATGCGGACTTCTCGGGTGTTCAAGCGGTTTCCCTGACCTGACTCCCAGGGACTCCGACCACCCCATGGCACATGGCCCCCAAGCCCGAATATCCCGAAATCAACGAGCCGGGCTACGGTCGTAGAGAGGCGGGGGCGACGGAGGTCGGATGTCGGGCTCAACCTCGTCGAACCCAAAAGTTCGTGCGGGTGCAAATCGGTGTAAGCTGTGGCCGAGGCATCCTCCAACTGTTGCAACTGGGCCAGCAGAGTTACTTCTCAGCCCTTCAATGGACTCGGCTCGTCGCACCTGGAGCTTGCGGTTCAAGTCCTCCAGCCTCTGCTCTCGCAGGAACTGATCGACCTATCGAGGCGAGGCGAAACAGGCGAAACATGGCTTTTCCGTTGAGAGCCCCGGGAGGCCTCCACCTCGGAAAGCCCCACCGGAAGCTCTACGTACGGTAGGGGCCGAAACCTGAGTTGCTTCCGACCAGCCTCGCACTGCACACCGCAGTCCGGGAATCCCTGAGCTCTCAGCGGCTTATCCTCCGGAAGGCCGAACCTCCCAGGAACCAAATGAAAAAGTTCGACGCCCGCCTTTCTACGCGGAAGCTGCGCGCCTCTTGCCCTTCTTTGGGACACCGCCGACACCTTTTGCCTTGCGCTTGTTGTCGCCTGGCACAGACGACGGCCATCAAAGTTCCCCAAAAAGAGCCCCGGCTGCTCCCCCCCTTTGATGGTGGCGGACTGTCGTCGTAGAGCACCAAAGACCGCTCCTGAGAGCACGTTTGAGATGCAGCGCAGTGTGGCGAAAGCGGAACGAGGCACCAACCGCGGCCCCACGCGCAGCATCTGCAAGCACAAGGGCCTGCTCGAAAGCCAGGACCGAGTGGCTCGCTACAACTTACTGCCAAGCCTGGGATGCATCTGAAACGACGAGGGAGTCCGCCATCTCTGCGCAGCCCTTTGCGCCGACATTCGCGGGCACCGCAGGCAGTCACGGCAAAATCGTCTGCATGGGGCGAGGCAGCAAAGCCCCTGACGTGTGGCTTAATACTTGGGGGTTAAAACAGTCTCTGTCCATCAATGTCCATCAAAGTCTTGTTGTATGCTGTGCTGCGATCGGAGCATACATTGGTGGTCAAGTTCTTGGTGCGGTTTGGGTGATGTCCTGAAGTCCCGAAGGAATCCTGCGTCAGCAAACTGGCCGAGTGCAAGGTTGCGACCGTGTTAAGGTTTGGTGGGTCTGGCCAGCTTCTGTCGACTTGGAGTGAAACGCTGCAGTTACCGAAGGCGGAAGCTTCGCCGGCTTCACTTAAAACACCTGACATGCGAGGCTAGCACTAGGCCTGCATCGCAGGAATCCTCAAGCAAGCCGAACCTGGTCAAGACATGCTGCATCATGCTGCTTTTTGCGCCGGGCGCGTGCCAATATTGCCTTCGTGCGAGAGCTTGCACAGGGCTTCTCGAAGCGAGAGCTGCCACGGGGGGATGCCCTCTCGATCTTTGCTCTTATGATACTCCAATCAACAGTATCTATGATCTGAATATCTAAATATCATCTTCCCAGGGATCCGAAAGCGTCGGAGCTCAACTCGACACAGGTTGCCCGCGCAGCCGCGCAGTCCAAGCCGGCCCTTCCACAGAAAATTTCGAACTCTTGTAAATGCGGACCCGAACTTGTCCAAGTGTCATATGACAGGAAGATTCTCTGACCATGCCAATCTCGACCCTCTCAAGCCCTGAACCTCTGTGCTCCCTTTCAGGCTGAGCGTCTCAGAGCGGAATCTTCATGTTGAGGAGGCTCCTTGGATCTCCGTCCCTCTGCCAGCCCCTAGGCCCTAGGACCCCGAGGATTATCCCCAGGAGGGAACTGAGCTCAGTACGTCTTCTCAAGAAAGGCTGGAATGCGGCCTGCCGGATTTCCGGAGCTCCGGAGTCTCGAAGTTTGACCGGACCGGGACCGCACGGGACCGACAACAAGGGCCTTTCATGTAAGGGTCCATGTTGGAGAACAAGGACAAAGCCTTCTGCAGCTCCTGAGCGACGCTCAGGCCTATCTGGCGAAACACAGGCGTTCGCCGGTCGCCTTCTGGTTTCCGGCCAGATACTTCCGAATGTAGATCACATCAAGCATGCTGAACTGCGAGGCCTCTTGGAGGCAAGGGAACCAGGAACAGAAAAGGAATCTCTCTTTCTTGAACTCGATGCGTCCAGCGCCCATCTACAGAACATCGATCCCCTCTCCCTCTTGAGAAAGCAGCCTTTGGAGGCTTTGGCGGGTTGGTTCCCGGAGGTCCTCAGAACCCGACAACATGCCCCAACATGCGCCAGCTTCTGCATGCAGCTCTGTCACTGTCCTCCTGAAATTCCCTAGACTTCGGCCGACGTGTGCAACATGGATTTTGAGGGTCTGACGCTTCTTGAAGAAGGGCTTCTGAGGTGGTTGACCCGCCTCAAACATCCCAGATGGTGCGAAAGCTGCAAGACAGAGCTTGACAGCGTGGTTCCAAATTGTTCGGCTGATGTCGCTGGACGCTCGAAGGATTTCAGTGCCGAGTGCCGGGCTACCTCTGCGGAGCGTGAGACCACAGGCTCGCGACTTGACACAACGCTTCCACAAACGAAGTCCAGCAACTGCCTTGGCGCGTGCCGCTCGGAAGCACCGCCCTTCCCGAGCAGAAAGCGTGAGCTGTTGGGACAAGCTTCGGAGCTGCAAGTGCAGCAAGAATGAGGAGCGAAAGGAGTCGCGAAGCTCGCGCCATTGAGCCTGAAGTCATGCGCAGCAACTTATCCAGGTCATGATGCTTGACAGAACATGTCAACAAACGTGAGGAACACACCCTTCAGTCGGCAGCACTCTTCAAAAGCGTACAGCCACTCGTCTTGAGCCAGGGTGTTTTGGCATCGTTCAAAAAGCACAAATACATGGAACCTAAGCCTTGAGTCACCAGACGGAGTGACTCCCAGGCACTTGCCATGGTTGTCACTTTCGGGCCTTGCACGTAAGCCCCCACAGTCCTGCCGAATCTTGCCTCAATAATAACACCTCATGTATGCAGGCGAAATAGACACATCCGTCCATCCCTCCATCCATCCATTCATCCATCCCTCCCTCCCTCCATCCATGCATGCATCCATGCATGCAAACAAGTTGCCTGGATACACACCTGCATACATACCTACAAACAAAAAACAAACAACCTCTCAATCAAACAATCAAACAAACAAACAAACAAACAAAAACACACAGACACACAAACAAACAAACAAACAAACAAACAAACAAAAAGACATGCATACATACGTACATACATACATACATACATACATACATACCATGCATGCATGCATACATACATACGTGAATACATACATGTACATACAAACATACACATTTACGTATACTCATACATGTATGCTCATGCAAGTGCAGGTACATCTGCATACACGTACACATTAGTTATACATTCATCCATCCATGCATGCACACACTCGCACATGCGTAAAATTACCTGCATGCACAGAAATATCCATGTCGCCTATGTATGTACTCCTTAAGCAAGAAAGCTAGACAACATCCAAGTATGTATATATATATATACATACAGGCCTCATGTGCGTACCTGTGCATATGCGCTTTTTTGCATGGCAATCTGTATGTATGCACGTATGTACGTGTGCTTATGTGTGTATACATATATATATATATATACATATCATGCGTGTGCATGCGCATGTGCATGTGCGCGCATTGTCTGGTATGCTCGGTTCGTGCACATGTATAACAATACTATTTGCAATAAGTATATATATATATGTACACACATGTTGTATCAAATGTGTACATATTAAACATATGTATGGGGCATGCATGTATCGTTGCATGCATGCACGCACCGGTAGGCGGGCAGGCAGGTACGTACACCTGCAGGTATGCCTGCATGCATGCAGCCTAGTACGTACATTCAGTACACAAGCAGTCCTTTGGATTTGCATGCATCTACACCGGAACGTGTGTGCGCGCGGCATGCATGTACGCACGCACCCGCAGGCATAGCCGGATGTATACATAAGGCATACAATGTGCATGCATACACTTGTAGCTAGATGCAGACACTTGTAGTAATGTTGTACATTCACATTCGCGTGAAGCTTGTTGTGTGTTTCGCTAGCCGCCTGTCTTATTTACTCTATCATTCTAATCAATCTGTCTGCTCGTGTATCTGTGAACTATACAGAAGCAATACCACCTGATTTTTTGGAGCCGTCACGAGCTGCTTTCTTCGTCTTCTTCGCTTTCGCTGCTCTCCTACAGACGTTGCTGAACAGGCAAGTAAGGCCGCTAATACCGGCTGTGCATGTGAAACTAGCTTGGGCGGCAGCAGGAGGACGAGCAGTAATTAGTAGCAATACTAACAGTAGCAGCAGTAGCTGCATGGGGTAGTGGCAGTACCAGTGGATGTGGAGTGGTAGTTGTAGTGGTAGTGGTGGTGGTAGCAGAGGCAGGATCAGGAGCAGTTGTTCACACAGGAGGCAGGAGTAGTAGTCGACGTTGCAGTAGAAGAAGCAGTAGCAGTAGCAGCCACAGCAATAGTAGTGGTTGCCGCTACCTTCGTAATCGTAAAGAAGGACCACGACAATTGTGAGGATGATGGGGAGGATGATCACGGCAAGCATCATGACAGCAGTTGCGGACATGCTGAAGGTGGATGTACGGCCAACACACAGGATCAACACCACAGCTGAGATACACACACTGCGGCAATGATGATGGCGGAGGAATCGGCAGCAGCAACAAGGAGCAAAGGGAGACCACGACGACCATCACGACGTTGATGGCGAGGGCATGTCACTTCTGTTGGATTCTGTGCCTGTTAGCCTGGTTCTCGCGGCTGACAGTGGGCACTCTGGTTTGCAAAAACTACTGGTACCATCTCGCCCTGCCTTTTTGGCTTGCTTTGCTTTGCCGGCAGTCTTCTTCCTCCAGGGCATTTCTTAACAGCAAGAGCTTCGAAAGCTGTAGAGCGAGTTGGGGCTGACCTGAACTCGCAAACTGCAAGTTGTTTTTGAAGCCTGAAGCGGTACCTGCCTCATGGCTTCCTGGAACTTCTGCTTTATGAGCTCCTGGGCGGGTTGCAGCTGCAGCCGTAACGGTATCCTTTTCGATCGGAAGCTTTAAGGGAATCGATGTTTCGAGATTCCGTGAGACGATGCGGCAGCCTCGGTCCGCTTCTTTCGCTCTTGGGTTGATTTGTCCTTCGCGCAGTGGCACTCAGGAAAAGACTCCGACTACAGCGGAGTACAGCTTTGCCGGCACAGTAACTGCTCGCGTAGACTGCACCAAGCTTTGCCTTGGCCTTCTTATCTTTCTTCTCATTTTGCTTCTGCTTGGAGTCCTGAAGCGGCCGTAACTTGCCGGATGGGTGCAAACCGTGGACCCGCACAGTGAGAGCAGTCCTTGCCATGATGCTTGCCGTTCTTCGCCTTGAACACTCTGGTGAAAAGCCATGTCAATGTTGGGTTTGATGAAGGCAGATGTCTAGGCCTTTTTTCTCGGCTTCGATTCGGAGCTCTCCTGGGGTACGCAGGCGACTCTAGGCGTGCCTGCTGCCTGTCTTTTGAAGGTCCTCTTCTTCGTCTTCCTCGTCCTCCTCCTCAGGTTTGGTCAATATAGCTCGGATCAGGCATGACTACACAGGAGGGACAGGATCCTCTTCCTCTTCTTCCTCTTCTTCTTCCTCCTCTTCGCTGCTCTCCTTTCGCAAGAGGACACCAGTGAGTTCTCTGAGCCAACAAAACGGAAATCAAGCACCTCGCTGCTGCTCTTCGCTTCCCTTGGAGCTGCAATGCATTGGAAACAGTGTGGTGGGTGAGGAAGGGATTTGGGCTGAGGCAGCCGATTGCGCTTGGTCAAGCAACCCTTATGATGACGTCTCCAGAAAAGAAAGCCACTGCGGACGAGTTTCTCCACCTGGGACGCTGCCTTCAGCACAGCCTCCGACTTGCAACTGAGGGATCCGTTTCAGGTCCATTCCATGGGAGTCCCTGTGGCCCTGTGCCTTCTTGCTAGCTTTCTTTGCTGGTGGTGCTGGCTTGGACCTTCGAAACTGCCAGCTCTGGCTCTGCCAGGCTTCCAAGGCTTGAACGGTGCAGGCTGCAATTGCTGCAACATCTGGGAGGAAAGCTCTTTCCGCTTTTCAGAGGCCGCAAGCTTTGCCTGGGCGAAGACCAACGAAGGTGCAGGAGAAGAGAGAGAGCCTGAAAGGCTCATCTAGGCAGCCGCACAGCTTCTGCCTTCTTTGCCTGCTCTTTCTGTCGCTCCTGCCGATAAGAACACGACTAGTGGGAGACAGCCATCCTAAGAAGCTCAAGCCCGGAAACCGGAGCAGTCCTCTCTTTCCTTTCTTTTTCTCTCCATCTCTGCTTTCAGCTTCTGCTCTCGAAGCTTCCGTTCAGCCTCCATCGGCGACAGACTCGACATCGGCCCAGGCAACGTGAAACAAAAGGCGCAAAGGGTAGTTGTTCTCCTCTTCGGCTTCGGCTTGCTTCTTGGCTTCGGCTAGCCGCTGCTTTTCGGCCAACTCCTTCTCCTCGGGCCATGAGTCTTCCACTCTGACACGCTTTGTGCTCATGCCGCGAGCCCCTGGCACTTGCATGCACTTGCCCTGCTTGGGTTCTGGCCTGAGCCTTCTTCAGGTTTGCCGCGATTTCCTGGCAGGACCATCGCATCAGCAAGGCACAGGCGGTTTGCAACGTTAGTCGTACCTTTAGACAGGAGATTATCTCGGCAAACTTCAGCAGGATGGGATTAGGGATGGCATAGTCTGACTGTAGACTACATGGCATGCAGAACCTGGCACTTGCAAGATCATTATTCGCTGACTTGCACATTGTTCTTTGCCAACTCTGGGAGGCGCGGCCGCGGCATCTGCGGCCTCCTCCTTCTTGGCAAGGCCTGACAACTCCCCCAGGCCCAAAGTGAATTGTAGGGGAAGTTCGCCTGTTAAACTTCATCACTCAAGACAGAGTTGGCCTTTCAGGTCAGAGGGGGACACCGAAGCTGGCGAAGGCGCTGCCTGAGGTTCAGAGATGTGCAAAGAACACTCCACATTTGGAGGAGCCTCTTCTTTCTCAGCATCGGCCCCTGCTTTCGACTTCTTCGCTGCCTCTTCAGGAGACCGCGTCGGGCAGCATGCATCGACAGATTCTCCAACCAGGTTACTGACAACATCTGACAACGGATCCCTTTTGTGCCTTGACGGCTTTTTCTTTAGCTTCCTCTTTCGGCTTCTTGTCCTTGGCTTTGGTCTTCGCTTTCTCCTTGCACAGGCTTCGGCCAGGAGGTTTATATGTTCGCCTCGCGACAAGCCCTGTCCTCTTTCTTGTCTTTGCCTCTCTCTTTGGAGGCTTCCCTTGGCATGATGCAGGATGCATGGCAACGATGGGATCTGACGGGGCTCTCTGCCTCTTTCGCTTTTCTGGCTTCTCGGAGACCTGAAGACGCCAGTGTCCACTCTGCTTCACTCGAGCTGTGGCGTCAGCTAGTTGTGGTGCCAGGTAAGCTGCCATCTCAGCGAAGATTTCTCGAAAGTTGTCTTTGGCAGCTATTGGAGCAACTATCCTATCCTGATCTGAACGTCGTTACCTACGCCTTTGAAGCTTGTACACTCTGTTGTGCGACGGCTGCTTGAGGCCCGTTTGCGATTAATATCTCTTCGAATCCCATGAAAAGCCCACCCAACATACCCAGGCCCCATTAAGACCTCATGACAGAGCACCAAATAAGGCCAGAATCATTCGACTGCGATGCAGCCTGTCTGAAGTCATGCGAGGTTGAAGTGGAAGCGATTCTGCCTGATCGCTCCATGGGTCCCAAATCCAGGGCCCCAACCGATGACCTGTGCTTGCGATCCGATGACCTTGGCTTCCAAGTTTCTCGTGCAGTCGGTACTTCCGGGATTGGTACGGCCGAGGGCTTTGCAACAGTACACCTATCTTTTCATCCGCACTTCTCCGCTGCGAGGCTGGTCATGGTCATTGCTGCTTGTGCGACCACCCCAAGCCCAGCTCCCTCTAGACTCATCTGGGAGGCACACGCGGAACGCCGACGCCCACGACTTCGGCTGCGCCTTTGGCAATGGATGCAAAGTGGCTCGTAGATCTGGGATGAATCATGATCCGGAAGACGGAACGCACACCTCCTCACTCGAACGGAAACTCTTGGCAGAATTCGGCAGCAGGCACTTGCTGAACTGAGCAACAAGGCTTTTGATCCCGCACGTCTGCCGTCCAGCTATTTGACAAAGTCCTTTTGGACTCGCTTCATGCTCGGCGGAGTGGGAGCATTCGGCTTGCCAAGAAAGCCTGGCCGTGTAGAGCAGGCTCTCGACTTGCGATCATTGTCATAATGCCCGAGACATCCGAAACGCACAAAGGAACCACCCAGGACCCGCCTAGGACGGGTTCGAAGGGGTCATCCCCAGAGCCCCCGAAGTTGAGGGAATCCTCCACCTGCCAGGACGCACAGCTTGAAACCTCTGTTGGTGCTGGACAACTTAAGCCAACGAAGCAGACACCGGGTCTCGCAATCCACCTCGTCAACGGCGCCTGCACGGTTGAGATGTTGCTGCAGCTTGAGGCGACGGTGGACGGCTTCCGGCAGATTGACGACCGTGGGCAGAACCCTTACTTCACAACAGGTTATTTTGCCACGGGGCTAGATTCATCCGAATCTTCCTGTAAGATCATCATGCAGCGGGGATTCCAGGCTCGCGGTCGCGACTTACTGATAAAAACACATGCATTAACAAAGGGCCCCCACCTGAGGAGGCTTCGATCTCACTCTCCGGGCAGCTCACGGGCTGCAGCCGCCCCCGCCGGAGGAGTGCTTCTCTCAGGGCCTTGTACTTCTCTCCCTTGAGAGCGGACCTTACTTCGTCAGTGGCTTTGCCGTGGGACCTGGGAGGGGAAGTCTCCGGCTCTCTGAGCCCTCTGCTTCTTGGAGGTGTCCGGCTCGTGAAACTGGTGGTAAAGCTCGGCCTGGTAGAATGGGAACTTGGAGGAGTCGTAGATCCTTGGACTCTCCCTCTCTGTCCTCGCAAAGCTCTGTGAAAATGTTTGTCCGACGTCGAGACTGCTCATGCAGCAGCGGCTCCAGACGACATCAGTGCCAGCCTTGGCCATAGACTGGAGCGACATCACCAAATCGGATCCCACACAGCCTATGCATCACCCGAATCAACCTCATGCGCAGCTCGTGTGGGTGAGTGATGAACCGCACTCCAACTAGGCTTGGAAATGCACCCATATGTAAACCACTGTCATTCTCCGCCACTGCCACCAGCGACATAAGAATGCTACCCAGTACCTGGCTGAGTGCGGCACAGTGCTTGGATCACCGCCCTTTCCCACCGCCAGCTTGAGGCGACCCCCGCTAGCCTCCAAGATGTCCTTTCCGGCGATCTCTCGGGCTTTTGATTAGAATTGAGTTAGGTCAGGACTTGAATGTTGCAGGAGCACAGAGTTCAAGCCCCGAACTCCCACAAAGGCTTAAAGGCTTGTCTGGGGCGCCTTGAAGTAGGGCGACTCCGAACCTCCGGGCAGACCCAGCATCGCCCGATACTCCGGGCCTCGACGTACTCCGTCCTTCATGCGTGCACTTGTTCTGCGACTTCCATCCCGTAAAAGCCCCACCCTAGAACTAGACCCCTTGGCCGCAGGCTTTACATGACACAAAGACTTTCGAGCCACCCTCCTCGCTCTCTCCTTCCTCGCCCTTGCGGTCGCTGTCACTCTCATTCACGGGCACTGGCACCTGAAGCATGAAGAAGGGGGAGGATTGCGAGACAGGGTAACAAGCCCCGGGAACCCTCAACACAGTTTGTCGAGGGAGCAGAAATGATCCTGATAAACACAAGCAATGCCGCGAACAACATCCAACAACCTTTGCAAACTCATGGCCAGACTTTGAGATTGCGACAGGCTGCGAGTTGAGAGGCTGCAATTGCATGACGAGGTACCGAATCCAGGAAGGACCTCGCAAAGTCGACGACTTTGTCGGGCGGTACGCCTGCAACCTGAACTGCCTCCGCATGCCCCAGGATGGCATAGTCTCGTCGCGGATACTCCAGATTATGATAACATACCAGCTGATTGTTGACCGGCTGCCCCCCGGCATAGCCACTAATCGATGTGATCGCAGTACCAGCGCGGCCCAAGAGCTGGGACTCTAATGAAGTGCAATCACTCTGCACTTGCCAGAAGGAGCCCTGCCCAAAGTACATATCCACAGGTGGTCCGCTCACAGCTCCATGCGCAGGACCTTCAGTGGCCACCACAGTTCCAGACAGTAGCCCGGCTAAGGCATTTCTTCGTCGAGCTGTGTCCTTCACCCTTTGCCGGACGCCGGGCTGCAGAAACAACCTCTCCCTGGCGGATCCAAAGAGCCTTTCTGGCCCTGCCAATAAGAGCCAGGAGAAAAGAAGCAAAACGCCGCCGCTTCGCCGAGAAGCCCTGGAAAGCCGGGCCACACGGCCCACATTCATCTTCGAAGCTGTGCTTTGATATGTAATGCTTATGCCACTTATGCCATGTTATGCCTATCATGTAACGAACGTAGCGCGCATGGTCCGCGCATGGGGACAACGCCTTCCTGCCATTGCTCGGATGCATGCTCAGGGTCCGAACGGAACCTTGAGAATCCAGGCCGGCGAAGACTAAACAACACGAGCATTTGCAGAATCTTGTGACGCTGACTTGGCTTTTTTCAATTCGCCCCTATGCTTTGCACGGGGCGCGCACCGTCCGCGTCGGGATGCCCGGCGTTCTCCTCAGCTCTAGAGAATCTAGTGAAATCCTGCAAACCTGCAGCTCGAATCGGTGTACGGTAGACTTAGGATGAAGGGGTCGCATTGTAACGTTTGAGCACCATGCGGTCTCTGTCGCGATCGCGATCTCGCTTCTCTTTGCTGCGGCTTCCTCAGCGCGCAGGTCAAATTCTATAAGAAATGGTCACCAACCTTCCAATGCAAAGTCTGCGAGACGCCACTGTGAGCTTCTGACTGCTTCTGCCAGCACGTCTTCTCCGACTTGTGCTTTTCTTCTGCTTTTTGTCTTCCTTCGCCTCTTTGGCTTCTTTGGCTTTCGTCTCCTTGGCTTCCTTCGGCTCACTTGCTTTGGCCGGGGGGCCTGCAAGAAGAAAGCCATCAAGACTCCAGGGCAATCGGTTGGAACCACGCCTGGAGTTTCTTTGCTCTCGTCCTGACACAAGATTTCCAGATGTCTTGGTCCCCTTCGAGAAGGAAACCCTGAGGAGCTCTGACACCATCCCATCGTCCTGCTCGTTGCTGGCCTTCGCTCTAGACTCAGCTGGCCTTGGCCCGGCCAGGCATGTCACTGCAGCTCATGGCATTTCGCTACATTGCTTTTGCCTACCAGGCCAAGGCGGACACTCTTCAGCAGCTTTGGGGGCCTGACGAACGAGAGCACACGCAAGACGATGTGACCTGAAGCCGAACCTCTGCGGCCGCAGCCATCTCCTTCCAGGAAAGCTAATGTAAAAAGGGAAGCTCGTGGTCCTTACAACGACGAATAAAGCGCGCAAAAGGCTCCTCCTTCGGGGAAGTGGCTTTTTCTGCTTCGTTGTCAGCGGGAGCTTCCTGTAGCGGCGCACAAACTAGTATACCTCCGTTACAGCACTCTATCGGCTTTCCATCGTAACCTTGGGTTGACGTACAAGTCTACACCGATCTTTGCCTCTAACTACCTATCTATCTGTCGCTTGTGGGTCAGCCTGTTTCTGTCTGTACTCGGTGAGAGTTTTCTGCTTGTTGTGAATCCGAAGGGCACTAGGGTCTTGCTATCTGTCTCTTGCACTACCTCCTTTCTGCTAACTGGCCATGGCTCGAGCGTGCCGTGATGGCATTTTGTGTTACGGCATGGGAGGGTGCGCACATGTGTCCGTGTGTATGTATGCTGTATGTACGTATGTGCGTAAAGGCGTATGTATGTACGCATGTTCGATTGCTTGCACGTCCGTATTTTGGTGCGCGAGTGTCTGCATGTCCCAGCCTGTCTAAAAACTTGCACAGGACTTTTCATAAATCTAACATGTGACAACCAGCACCCGACATGTGTACTGCTGCATGTTGCACAGGATAGGTCACACGAGCAAGAAATAAATTCTTGAGTAATCGCCAGACATTGTACAGACTGTTCGAGGCGGATGAACCGACAACCAAGGAGGAAATTGAATTGACAGGTGGAACGAAGCATTGCAGCCGATGCGGAACTATCGGATAATTATCCACGTGTGTCTGCTGGTGTCACGTGACATGTCAGGTTGTACAGGTCAGAGTAGCTCAGAACACCCCTCCGCTCCGGACGCCTCCGGCTTTGACCTGGAACCACCTCGGTCGGCCCCAAAGATATGGGCTTGATAGATACGGTGGAAGCATTGAGCTGCATCCTGGAAGTGTTTGCATCACTCCCTTCCGACTGACACGGCAGCTTGGCATAGTCCTGTCGGGCCTGTAAGGGTTTTCTGAGGCAAGCGCCATCTTTCTCGGAGGCTTTAAGGCCTCCAGCTTCCTGCAGGGAGATCAGCTGGAGCGACTCGTGCTGCTTGCACGGCATTCTGAATGTCTTTCGTTGCGATTGGGAAATTTGAGGCCCTGAGCAGGGAGTTCGGAAGACCCTGGAAACACCCTCAAGCAGCCCCAATCAAATCTGTCCTGGGCTAGTTCGTCTGCTTTCGACACCAAGTCCAGGAAGTAGATGCGCTCCTCAGCTTGAAGTGCTCCCATGAACTCTGCTCACTCGAGTGCACCAGCACAGCAACAGGAACACTCAGGCGATGCAACCAACTGACAGCTCCCGAAGAGCAACACACACCGCATTGTTTCTTGCCACTGCCGCCACGATGTCCGAGTCTCATCCCAAGGTAGGAATGCTACGACCAAGCGGATTTTGGGAAAAATCGCTTGGAACTGTGCGAACACGAAGAGACAAGAGACACAGGGGGTGTGGCAGGAGAAGAGCCGCACGGTGCCTGTTGCGCTCGAAGACGCACCTTGATGGACGAGCCTTTGAAGAACCTTCAGCAAGGCCCTTCTCTCGGAGTGCTGAGACCGGTCATACGAGGAATAAATCGGCCTCAGGAGATTCGAACCTGAAGGCCAGCGGTGCAGACCGTGTGCGACAATCTCACCCTTGCTACGATAAACCGAGTTGGCGCCTGATCCGTCCGGCGAAAATACCAAGTAAGACACCCAGGTGAAAAGCTGACGGGCAGAGGTCTCCTTTGGCAAGCCGCCTGGAAAGCTACGCTCAAGAGCAACGGCGACTGTCTGCTTTGCTGAGTGTAGCCACTCTTCGCCCTGGCCACTTGCGATCCCCAGCTGCAGCAGCGCCTTTCTGGCAAAGTGGATCCCAAGGCCATGCTGGGCAGTAAGCTTCGAGCCTATTTCGGAGGCCGCAACTGCGTGCCGCAGCTCCGCCATGACAGGTTCAAACACTACTTCACGGAAGGCCTCATTCAAATCCTGGGACGTGCGACCGGCGGCGTGCAAGGTGTCCAATGCCAGAACAGTGTGTACACCACGAGACACACTGAGCTTCATCGCAACATCCAAGTCCCTGTCCTTCTTCATCTCTGCCAGCAGCAACAGCGCACGATCCGTAATTGCGCGATACAGTGGATCTATGTGAGGAAATGCACTGGGGGAGCCCGAATTTTCCATTGCAGTCACAGCACTGCACAGGCCTGACACTGTCGGCTCACACCCTTGGGATTGAGATTCTTTCAGCAGAAACAAGGCATCCTCCCAGCAACCAGCCTCGCACAGCCCTAATGCGGCGTCATACCCCACAACATCCAACTTCTCCGTCTCGAGCAGCTCCTTCAGGTACTGCAGGCCAAGTGCCCAGGATTGACTCCTTTGAAAGGATGTGATCATCGCAGTGTGGCAGTGAAGATCCGGCGTCAACTGCTGTCGGGGCATGCCTTGCAGCAGGGAAAGGGCTCTGTGCCAGTCACCACCCTTTGCACAGGCCGAGATTGCAGTTGCCACACTTCGCACATCCGGGCCATGATGTTCCGGAATCTGCTCGAACAGCGACAAGACATGCTGCCATTTGCCTGCTCTCTCCAATGCCTGCATCGTAGTATTGAAGCTGATCAAGTCCGGCTCGACTTGCACCTCTTCCTCCATTGCACAAAGCACTTGCAATGCTGGAGCCCAGTGCCCCGCCCTCCCGAGTGCTGCAAGGAGTACGTTCTGCGTCACGACGCTCGGCGTCAAGCTCTCCGGCAAACTCAAAACCGCCAGCGCGGCTTGCCAGCGAGAGCACCGATTGCAAAGGCTCGCAACGGCACTGAAGCAAGACAGGTGCTCTTGGCCCAAACTCACATCTGCACTCAGCAGCTGCAGCAGTTCTATAGCCTGTTGCCAGTGACTTCCATGACCGAGATCTGAGACTGCTGCGCAGACACTCGCTGGCAGAGGCTGCTGAGGCTGGTCAGAGGCGGAGTCGCCGGAGCTCCCGTCCTGGACCTGCAACTGCTGCCAAATTAAGTTCGGATCAGGGGCGGTGGCCACTCGACGCTGCAATGGGTCAGCAACGCATGCAGCAAGGCATACAGGACGGAGTGAAGGGACCGAAGCTCGGGAAGAGCATGGGATTCGTCGTGTGACCCTCACACAGGCACGAGCCATCAGCACAGGCGCTTGAGCCCAGGCCGCAGATCAAGTGCCCTGCTTACACTCTGTGTTCATTGCCCAGGATGCTCTCAGGCGTGCACCGAGCGGCCCAGGCTGAAGACACAGGACTGGCGCAGCGCAGACTGTGACTGAAACCAACTTAGCAAGATCACCCAGGGAGCCACAAGCTGACATACGCTGTCCTTATCACTGAGACGGGCCTGCCAAGTCAGCTTCTTGCGACCGTCACCAGGTTGGAACAAAACAGATCCTTGATCGGTCACAAGCCCTTTGATTGGTCAGAAGACTCCTGCTTGTTGAACCTTCAAGCCAAGATTCTGATTTCCTGTTTCTCCATCTGGTCCAGCCTTCCGCGTGCACGGAGACACACACACACACACACACAGAGACAGACACACACACACACAGGCAGACACGCACTTCTGCGATGGCATGCACATGGTATCGACAGCTAACAAGAAATGCGCACACCACATCAAAAAATGCAAAGATCGAGCGAAGCATGACTCTTGCACCCTCGGTGCCATCCGAGCTAACCGAGAGCTGGACAGGCCCATGACATGGCTTCGTCGCTCGCCCGACCTTCGGAAAGGGCTAGCTGGACCTTTGCCATGTCGGCGAGATGTGGCGGCGTGGCTGAGGATCGGACAGCTTCTCCTCGCATTCTGTGCGAAGCTTCACCAAGAGCTTTGGGTGATGCGTCACAGCCTTGAAAAAGAAGCCAAAATCCGATGCAGTCTGATGCTTGGGATGAACGGCTGGGACTCTGACTGATTGCACACTTTGTCCGGAAATCGGATTGAGGTGGAAGCCCTGGAACGGAGACATACTCGACATTCTAGACTCTAGACACGCTGGAGCACGTTGCAGCAGTCCTTGGCAGTGTAGACCAAAGCCACGTGCTCTGCATAGACACCCTGCCCTCTTCGTTCAACAACGTGAGAGCCTTCCCGCGGACCAGCACGTTTTGAAAGTATGTAGCCCCGAGACTGTCCCAAACCTCAACCCTACCATTTATCTTTGCGCTCAAACCCTCTTGGCTCCCCACGCTCGGCATCCATGCCAAAAATCAGTGGCTTCGTCACGGCCATGCCTGACTGCATGGAGTTTGGGGTTTGGCTGGTTTAGGGGGGTTGAAACAACTCTCGGTCCCGCAGAACCTCTCCACTGTCAAAGGACCAGCTGAAGCTTCGGCTGGCGACTTCTCTTGCACCCCCGCCATCAAACACCCGTAGCCGAATGCCCAGCCTCAAAGGCTCCGAATGGCTCAGAGTCAGAGGGGGACACATCTCTACTGCGAATCGAACGCACGCCCAGGTTCCGGGCGGAATGTCTGCTTTTTGTGGGGGAATCTTCCAGAAGGGTGTCACCTGCCCGTCAGAATATCACTGCACCGAGCAGCCATGCAGAACACGCAGGGCCAGCAGAACCGATCACCGGACCGGCATAGAGTTCACGATCTCCTCAAACTCCGCAGGTGGCAGCTCGGGTGCAGCACCCTGGACGGCAAGCACTTCCCCCTTGCCAAGCAAGACGCAGACGTGGGCCATCGTGGGCCTTGGCCTCCTCCTTCTCCCTCTTCTCGCGTGCCCGTGCCTCGGCCTCTGACCGGGCCCTGGCCTGAGCCGAGGCGAATGTATGTCGGGGAGTGCACATGCGCGGCGAGCAATCTTCGTACATTTTCTGGCCTTCTCCCACTCTGCTTTGGCTTCTGCTTCCCGCCTCTTCTTCTCCTGTTCCATTGCATCAAGGAAAGCAAGCAGGACCAGGATTCTTTCTGCCCTGCCTCCTCCTCCTCTTTCTGGGCCTTCGCCTTAGCTTCCTCCTCTGCCTTGGCCTTGGCAGTTTGGCCGACTGTTGAAGTGTTTTCTGGTGACTCTCTGGGGCTGTGGCGGCTGCGGCTAAGGCCACGCCACTCATCATCGGCAGGCCCCATGATGGCTGAAAGCCCATCCTTGGCCAAATGGAAGGCACACGCCCATCACCCCAAGTCTACCTCTTGCGAAGACTCCTGCATATCTCTCAGCACGCTTGAATTAGACGTAACTCGGGAAGACAATGTGACAAAGCTTGAGCACTCTCCAAGCCCAGCACATGGGCATCTGCCCCATCATCGGGGTGCCTCAGCGGAGTTGCACCCGGGGCTTTTGCAGGAACCCCAAAGGCCTCGATCCCGCCCAGGGGTTGCACCCATCACGTGCATTGCAGGCGGCCCAGGGAGCGGCGCTTGCACCTTCGCTTCAAGGTGCAGCCGCGAAGAGGAACCCCACAGGGGTCCTATAGTGGCCCTATCGAGGCTTCCCACCTGCACCGGTCCGCCCGCTCCGGCAGCCGGCCTTGCGTGCATCGGAGGCTCAAATCACAAATCTCATTCTCCACTCGAAGACTCAGGGCTAAGCCCTGTCGGCACAGCTTTCTGCATCGGCCTCAATGTTCGAGGGGCACTGTTCAGAGTTTTGCTTTACACCAGCATACCTTTCTTCCTCAACACGAGCACGGCTTCCTTCTCCAGGTTCCCGACGGCACCACCTGCGCCGTCGGCGCCGCCGGGCTCGCCTTCTTCGGGATGGCACTCCCGAGGCTGGGCGCAGATGCCTCTGCCAGAGGCCACAGAGATCCATGATGGAGTGTGGCGTGGGGCTCAGCCCGGCGCCTTTGTGGAGGCAGTTTCTGCCAGCTTCGCCTCTGCCTGCGATGGCATGCTGTCGCAAGTAGGGGGGGGGAGCGTGGCATGCCACCTCAGGAGCTATGAGGCTGTAAGTGTTGCAAGTCGTGGAAGTAAAAGTGCTTGAAGTACTTCTTGCGGCTGCACCTTCTTCGCCTCATCCTCCTCTGCATCCTCGTCTCCACCGCTCATCTCAACGACCTGCCAAGCGCTAGGACTGCAAGGCAGTGTCCGCGAACCCGATGGCGCAGGGCCTTAGGCGTTCCGCCCTCGCCCTCGGATGAGAAAACAGCCCGCAGCTCGTCCTTGGCCCGAAGTTGCAGCAGCTGCGCACGGAGTGGGCGCAATCTGGCGAACAGTAGAGGGCCGGGCAGCCTGGGGTCCGGTCGCCATGCGGGCGGAGAGCGAGTCCCACCTCAGAAGCTTCCACACATTGGCATCGTTCTCGAAGAGTCCATCGAAATGAAAAAACAGGCAGGAAGGACAGGATTGCTCCCCAGCTTTCTTAACACGGCTTCTGGAAAGGCTGCGGCTGCGCTGCATCTGGACGAACTTTCTTCAGAACCTGTGAAGCTGCAACAGGCTGCAACAACAACGGGCGAATTACTACAAACACGTCGATAGGCCTCTAGTGCCAAGTCGAAGAGCGACTTGTCGATCACTTCGTTCAGCAACCTCTCTGAAGGAGCATGTAAAGCTGTCTTTTCCGCAGAAGTGGTGCCTGTCAAGTGCTTCGACTGTCTGCCGTTGGTGGTGGCGGTAGATTTTCCGCGCAGTCTCGGTGATGTCAGCAGCTTGCTGATATCTTCAACTGAAGTTCCGCGGCTCTGGGTAGCTGGCCACCGCATCGACTCCTCTAGGCGGCTTCCTTCAAGGTCACAGCTCCATCAATTGCGACAGCCCATTGCCAATGTTGCGGTCTCAAGGCTTTTCGAGTTTGAGGCTGTAGCTCCGCCAAATCGGCCGAGGGCTGTCTCGATTGCTGCGTCCATCGACTCGGCACCCAATCTCCCATCCCAGCGCCAGCAACCAGCCGTTTCCTCTAAGCTCCTGGTTTGAATGCTCTCTGCTGACCCGGGCTCCATGCAGGACACAACTCTCGAGCAGCTCTGGCGGCAGGTCCTGTCGGGATTGCAGGAACCGGTCTTGCACTTCGCGGATGCTCCGATTTCTTCTCTGCGGACCACCTATGGGAGATAGCGAGATTTAAGCTATTACCATCTTCTCTGCAATTACTTCTGGTTGTTCCGCTATTGCTGAACATGCTGTATAGGAGAACATGGCAAAAGCTGTTCGCCCAACAGGGGCCGTGGCACCAGATATCTTCTCTAGAGTTCCGCTGGTACACGCCGGTGCAGAAGCCTTACTAGAAGAAACATCTTGTGTGGTGCCTGCCAACTGGTTTGACTTTGTGAATGTGAAGGTAACAGTAACCCGTTGAGGAAACATAGTGACATAGTGCAACCGCCAGACATTGTGACCAAGAAATGCTGCCCTGGCGAGCACCGCCGAAGTTTCTTGTTCGCTCCCCCACCAGATACCAACACATGCAGCATGACTGCGGCCACACTTCTCTGTGCATCATGTCGGCGACACGCAGCCCGCCTGCAGATCATCTTCATCCACCTGCAAAAACTGTCTGCCGGCGTCCCAAGAAGTCTGAAACCAGAACACGACATGAACACTGCCAGGTTTACGGAAAGCTGGCATGAAAAGAGGTGCAGCGACGAAACCAAAGTCCCAAGCCCCTGGCCGGATCATCCTTCCAGTCCTTCGTGCGTGAGCAGCCGTGCTTCTGGTAACTTGGAACCCGAAGAGACGAGTATTCCTGCAGACCCAACATACCGTCCTCTTTCACTGGCACCTCAATGTCGTCCTCCGGTCGTAGAGCGAAGGGCCGGGGAGCCTGCAGATAGAAACATGCAGACAGCAGCAGTTCAAGAACCTCCGTTTGCAGCTGCCCGCAACTGCCTATCACGCAGCACTGGGACTGAAGATACAGCTGAAGCCTTCAAATATCTCCAAATGTCAAGCAGGCAGCCTTGAAGCCACCATTTGGTGGAGCCACAGCGGCCTGCCAAAAGAAAGCAACCTGTTTCTGGCATTCTGGTTCGGCCACTTCGGACCAGGCTGATGCTGATTAAAACCCAGGATGACGTACACGACTCTCGAACTACAATCGTGCTGCACTGGGCCGTTGGCGTGAACAGTGTTTCGAGTATATTTTGAAAGCCACTGCTGCACCACCGAAAAAAACTAGAAAAAGTTGGACTTCGCCTGTTGGAAAGAGTTGGGCGCCGGCCTCAGGGGTCCACAGGAGCAGCGAGGATACACGAAAGAAGCCGACCTCTCTTCCTCTCCATAATGGCTAATGCTGCGGCGATGTACTGCGCTTTGCACATCTTCAGCACTTTCGCTACCATCACCGTTCCCGATGTTGCATTACTCTTCAATGCTCGTTGCTCTGCGCTATCCTACTCCTGCTTACCATCACCATTGACGTTTCACGAAACAGGTAATCTCGCATCAAGTCGAGTACTCAGCATCTGGGAAGCTCACATTTGCCCAGCATATGATCCGGGAACTTGCGAAAATCCTGTCCGAGCAAGCAGATGGAGCTGGGCGCGAACTGCCAGAAAACGCGTCCCCAAGGCGACGTGGATCCTGTCCTGGAACTGGTCGCACGAAGGGAGCCGCTTGCGGAAAGCCTGGCCTGGAGCATCGCTCGGCGCAACAAAAAAGGGGATGGCGCCCTGTTTTGTTTTTGTTGCCCAGCTAGGAGAGAAGCCCAAGCCCAAGATCGGACAGATGCGATGCAAAAGCATCAATGTACCACGAGCCCGCAGCCTAAGTAATACCCTCAGCAGCCTGCACACAGGACTCACCTCGCGGCCTGACCTGCCTGCACTTCTGGAGACCAAACGGCACATGAAATACTCACGAAGTTGCTGTTCGAGGCTACAGTAACAGAAAGCCAAGAAGACATCTGTACACGGCCAAGGCCGCTGCCGAAAGCCCGCAGCTCCTGGGTGCAGTCGGACGTCGAACACTGTTTACAGCCACACCTTTCCCTCCACTGAAAAGCCTCTAAGCCCTGCCAGTGCAGGTTTGCGGTCTACTAAGATATATTCATAGATACTATTTTCTTTTATTATTATATTGTTATATCAGTATACCATTATATCAAAAAGCTGACGCCATTGCTTTCGGC